TGAGCAGGGACTTGATCATGTTTAGATTGATAAAGAAATGAATACATAAAAATCCTTATCAAGACAAAAAAAAGTTACACATACACACTCTGCATGTATGTGTATATATATATGGGAAACTTGGCTAATACAAAGCAAGTTTTGTGTTGGTGCTGGAAACAAGATCCCAGACACATAAATGGTAGAAAACCAAACTTCTACTTCCCTGATGTTTGTTTTTTTAAAGCTATAATGCATATTAAGAATGACACAGCTCTGTCCCAGCAGGGATACTCACTCTTAGTTAACCTAGCATAAATGTAATTTTCTTATGTTTTCAAATGTGGAGGTTTGCTTTAATTTGTGTGTGACCCATGCTGCCCGCTGTCAGTCCCATGCAAACTTCTTGGTCAGCTTATTATCTAGCAGTGGTTTGTCCCAAGCTGGAGCTCAGGAACTTCCCAACAACCTTCTCCTCGTGCTGGCTGGTAGCTCACCAGGACACAAAGAGAAAGGCAGTACTCACAAAAGGTCCCAGGACACAGGCCCCTTCTGCTATTACTGCAATTCAGAGCAAGCACCTCTGGTAGCAAAGAGCCCAACCTGCTTTTTTCTGAGCAGCTGCCACTACAGTTTGCTTTGAATTTATACACGGAACTTTATCCCCACTGGCCATCTTCTCCATCATACAACCAGGGCATGAAATTTTACTATATTTAAAACTTATTTATGGAATATTGTATAAATTCATCTTATATTCTAGGAAAATATAAATGTATTTGCTTTACATTCTCTGCCTATAAAAATATAGTGCTTTTTATACTCTACAAAGTATAAATACATACGCTTCCTCGAAAAAAAGTCCTAGAGCATTACAACAGCAAAGATGAACATAGGCACGATAGGGTCATCTGTACTTTTGAAAATGCTTTTGTTTTGGAATGCCAATTAATCTGTAGTTTATTGTATTTCAACCTTCAGAAGGTCACAGGATTTAACTCTCATACCCTTGCCAATGTCAGCTGGCTCATAACAAACATTCATATTTGTTTTATGACCCAGACCAGCTGGTGGGTTTTATATACAGTAAAAATGAGAAATCTGACAAAAACAAGTGATTCATCTTCATAATCTGAGTAGAGGCTGGAACCTTCAGTAGAATCTTAAAACTATTAATTTATTTGTTCAGGTTGCTGGGCTTGCTTTCCTTTTCTTATTACCATTGATTGGATGCAATCTTAAACATTCCGTACTTTCAGTAAGAGGGATTTATCTGATAATTGGAAAAAGCTTTCCTGGCAGGTAGCTTGCTGGACTTTCTCAATTTGATACATGCTCATGTTCTGCCACGATGACAGAAGGAGGAGCTACTGATGTGCTCATTTGCTTTAAATTGTTTTCACTTTCAGCTGAAATCATTAAGTGAGACCTGAAGTGTAGAAATGATGTACAAAAAAGGATCTAATTAATTTTGGTGCAATGCTGTCAGATTGGTGCAACGTTCTCAGTCTTCATGTTGAATCCATTTAGTGTTAACTGCAGTGTACTCCTGTTGGCCTGTGGCCCAGATTTGACCTGGAAGACAAACCCATCAGGCTTGCTGCAAGAAATAGGGCACAACATTCATGCAGCAAAGGTTGTCCTAACCACCAAACATCTATCTGCACTCAAACATCGCCCAAAGTCAGGGGCTGTTGCTTCCACAGTGGCCAGCAAAAGTGAGGTAGGTGGGGAGGTGTTATAAGGGGGAAAAGGCACATGGCTGCTGAGGTTAAAATACTGCTGTACGTTTATGCCTCATGCTGGATGCCTTAGGGATAGCAAAAACATGTATCCCATTAGCTATCACTGCACACCTCAGTAGAAAAATGCCTGTACAGCATTGCCAGCAGTGACAACTTGTGACCTGAAGGGACAGAGGCCTGCAATGTATTGGAGGAGATGGGACAGAATGGGTGTTTCTACAGTTCCCACAAATTCAACAAATTGATCCACTTCAGATGCCCCTTTCTGTAGACCTTGTGATTTGTTCTGGTTTGGAAGGTGGAGCTCATCTCCATGCTCCCCAGCACACTCTGTGACACAGAAAATTCCTGCCCATCAGCAAGTCTGAAAGCTAAATAACAGCAGGCTACACTAGTTAGTTTACCTAGTCAGAGGAGCTGTACTGATTTGTACAAGTAGGTATTTACAGCATAACCACTTACACACAAGCCAAGTAAGACTCCCAGAGAAAGTCTGCAAGGAGATTGATTCAGACATGCCCAAGCCTTGCCAGTGAGCAAGCATGGGTACCAAAAGCAGAGTACCTGCAGGAGCATTGGCTAACTGGCTCTGTTTAGAGGATGTGTTAGCATAGGAAAACACTGTGCCAAGGCAGCCAAGCTCATTCCGGCATCCAAGTCTACTTATTCAAAAGGGACTTGGTTATCCCACAAAGCTCTGCCACGCAGGCATACGTGACATGCCTGCTGTTTCAGAACAAAGGTGCAGGCAGGAAGCTGTTTTTGCTGTAGTGCTATTAATACTACAGGTTGAGTTTTACCATTCACTTAAAGGCAGGGTCGTAACTGATTCACACTGCCTGGGTGCTGCAGGGGCCCTTGAAACAGCAAAGATTCCGCCCCCCCCACCCCCCCCCCCT